TGGTTCTCCTCTTAATCCTGGATTTCCTAATGCTCCGACTGGGCCCTAGAAATACATCAATTTTTATCAACTTTTTTTGAATGTTATACTGTTAGGACATGCAATGCGATTTTACAATTTATGACATACATGCACAGTACAAATCAACATACTTAGTTATAAATATTTTGACGGATAATAGAACTAAACCATAATAGTGTTCAAAAATAGTGGGAATTAAGTGTGCGATGTATAAATATAATTATTACAAGCTAACTATATTAATTTTGTTGGAAAGTCGTAAGAATAGAATGATAGCTTCTGAGAAACATTAATTCTAAAATGAATGAATCTAATAATAGGCGTTTCAATATTTTTGGTGTTACKTTATAATTATAACTACTAATTACTATAAGTGACATGTCTAGGTACCTATATGATGGACTATTATAAATTTTGTTAGAAGTGGATTTTGAGAAATTTTATATAATATAAATGTTATAGGTTCTACAGAACTATACTTATCGGGTATTTACGATGTACCTACATGGTTTAAATGTCGAAGCAAAGTTAATAATTTATCAGGTTTCCTTAAATTAAGAGTTAGGGATCATAGTTAACATATCAGAAAATAGCGTTGTAAATGATAAAAATAAATATAATTTGTAGTATATTAAATTTTTATAGTAATTCCTCAATATTGTATATCTCAACGTTATGATCTAACCTATATTAGATTCTGAACGGAGCAAGAAATGTATTGGTTTTACAATGATGTTTATTTGTTTTTGTTTTTGCTTTTTATTCTGTAAACACTTTTTCTCCCTCTAAACTTGCTCAAAAGTATCAAATGTGACATATTTTCTGAAAGGCAATGTTCTTGAGCTGGTACTTTAGAGAGGTAATTTTTCGATTTTCGAAACGGTACTCGAAATAAAAGCGGTCAAAGAAGAAAAAAGTACGATTTCACGATTTTATAATAATAAATAATTACGGACGACGTTTTAGATTCTGAGCGGAGCGATGAATGTACGGATTTTACCATGATGTGTTTTTT